GGGTGCTCAGGGAGGGGAGTCAGATAAGCAGGGAGAAGACTTGGTTGCCAGGGTTGGGGGCAGTAGCAGGGGCAGCACCAGAGGAACAAACTCTGTTTTGTTCCACCTGAACAGGGGACGCGTCTTCTCTCCTGTCCTCCATATACATGGAGAATCTGTTCCCCGAGATTTAGCAAAACTTCCACCATCAACTCACTTTCAGAAGAGCAAAGAGAAAATGGCTCTGCTCTGTATCATTGCTTTTCCTACTCTGAAGGCAACAGTAGGGGTCACAGGATGAGAATACCTGTTATATTACCAAAATGGATATTTTTAGAACGTTCTGGGAGATAGCAGGCTATGCCATCTCTTATCCTGTTCTCTCCATCATAGTCTCTATCTGTTCTCACAGAGGGATGAGAACAAGTATTCAGGCTGAGCGGTAATAAGCTGGTGATCCTCTTACTTCTATCAGCAGCCGGAAAGTCTCATCCACTTGGTGCAGGATGTTTGGGGAGTCTCGGATGAATCCCTTGATGGCATCTAAATGGTTGAAAGTGACCAGCAGCACATCCTTGGGACGGGGACACAGCAATACTTGATATTTGAAAGCCATGGTCATCAGGTCATAGAGCTGCCAACCCACATACAAACAAATAGGATCATAAAAAGCAGATGTCAGAATCTCCAAACAATGATTCAGTCAAGCACATATCAAAAACCAGCTCTGGACTTACCATACAGCTCAGGTGACCACATCAGTTATCATACAAACCAAGAGTAAAAGGGGGTGATATTAATAATGAAGCCACGACAACAGGAGCAAGCTGGGGCATGCCTGAGCAAACCAGGATTTCTGATTACTTTATAGGTATTGCTCAAGGGACACATGAAACAACACTGACAGTGGTGGGGTCTTGAACTGGGCACTAGACTTGGAGAAAGAAAGCCCAAATTCAAGTATACTTTGCTGCTGACTTATTGTATGACCCTGGGCACATTTCTTAACCTCTCTGGGCCTGAGTTTTCTCATCTGTAAAAAAAAAATACTCCCTAATTTTCTAATGTTTCAGAGCCATTGAGAGGAGTAAATGAGATGATATGTGTGAAAGTGGCAAGTATAAAGTTTGCAACTGTATAAGAACAAATTTAGGCTGCGCGCAGTGGCTTACACCTATAATTCCAGCACTTTGGGAGGCTGAGGTGAGAGGATTGCCTGGGCAACTTGGTGAGACCTCATCTCTACAATAAATCAAAAAATTAGCCAGGCTTGGTGGTGCATGCCTGAAGTTCTAGCGACTTGGAAGGCTGGGGCTAAAGGATGGCCTGAGCACAGTCGGTCGAGGCTGCGGTAGCTATGAATGTACCACTTCACTCCAGCCTGGGCAACAGAGTGAGACTCTAACCCCCCCGCAAAGAACAATTTTAAATAATGAACAATGCGTACTAAGATACCAACAAGCCATATCAACATAGGTGTGGTATGACCATCCATGAAGGTTCAGAGGAGGAAGTTAGTGAGGACCAAAGTGTCAAGACAGGCACGTGGCAGAAGTAGCCTCATACAGACTTCGCAGCAGCCACAGGTTCCAATGGGCTGAGGGGAGAGGAGGCATTCTAGTCGAAAGAAACAGGCCTGGAGACAGCAATGAGTGTGTTATTTTCCTAGGAGAAAGAGGAGAACAGCCTGAGGACAGTTTGTGTTGGGGTGGTGGGAAGTAAAGTTGGGTAAGTATGGCCAGGTTAGAATATGAAAGGTTTTAGAAAGACAGGCAAAATAATTTAGCCCATTGTGGCAGAAATTGGGGGGCTGAAGTGTTCTGAGCTGACCTGGTAAATAGTGACTAAACAAGATTAGTCAACCTGGCAACGATGAGATGTGCGAGAAGGGAGGGACTAGGGTTAGGGAAATTAGCTAGTACCTGGCTACTCTGCAATAAATATCTTCTGCGTGCATGGATGACAGAAACGTTGGAGTAATTCAGTCTTAAGGCCTGGAATAAAGATAGTAGGAATGGAGAAGTCAGGGCAAAGAAGACCACACGATACCTAGAAGGAAACGCTGTCAGTACATGGCGACTGCCGGCCTAGATCTGGGGATGAAGGCGAGGGAGGTCCAGAAGAACGCCGGCATTTTTCAACCCAGTGCCTGGGAGAGGGTCGATGCTACTGGTGGAGGCAAGGAAGTCTGGGGGGTGTGGGAGAAGGAGCTGGGAGAGATGACTAGGCTGGTTATGGCCATGTCTGGGCAGGATTGAAAATACAAACTACTACATCTGAGTGTTGTGCTAAACACATTTTTATATCTAACCCCACCTGATCCCACTTAATCTTCACAAGAACTCTATGAGCTAGGTATTATCCCAGTTGTATTTTATTTTATTTTATTTTATTTTTTGAGTTGGAGTCTCACTCTGTCGCCCAGACTGGAGTGCAGTGGCCGCTCCCGGCCACTGCAGCCTCGACCTGCTGGGCTCCGGCGATCCTTCCGCCTCAGCCTTCCAAGTAGCTGGAACCACAGGCGCACGCTACCACGCCCGGCTGATATTTGACTTATTGTAGAGATGAGGTCTCACCAAGTTGCCCAGGCGGGTCTCGAACCCGCGGGCTCAGGTAATCCATTCGCCTCAGCCTCCCAAGGCGCGGGATTACAGGCTGAGCCACCGAGCCCTCCTTA